AATGGGCATTAAATAATACAGTGTATGTAAATTGTCTGTGACCTAAAGAAGGAGGATGGGTCAGGGTATCTCTTAATAGATTTAGGCAAGAGAGAGAATGGTCTAGAAAAATAATCCTCTTACCCCAACTTTTATATAGACAAAAAGATTCCAAGTGTTGCTTTAAAGGGTGTGTGAGGAGCACGCACGCGTGCGCGCGCGCACACACACACACACACACACACACACACGAAAGGCAGCCTGAAGCCAGAAGAAAATGAAGGATGGTTAGACACAAGATTGATCCATCAATTTATCTTGTCAATAAACACAGGCTTCGAGCTGATCTCTGTATTTGTGTTGACAGATTTTTATCCTTGTTTCTCTTCACCCTCCACCTCCACATCAACTAGGGGAACCACTTCATCTTTTCCCCACAGCTGCTACCCAGCTCACGGTTCAACCAATTGTCATTACAGCCATATAAGGATTCCCTAAAACATCAAGGCTTGGAACCTCAGTCCTAATTCCACACTCGTCTCTGCAGTACCAGCGCCCCTGGGTGGATCAGTACATCAGCGGGACAAGTGGCCCCAGACGAAAGCACAGAGTATCTCTTTTACTCGAGGATGTGAACTACAGAGCAATACTTCTATGCTAAAACAAATTATGGAATAGAATGCAATATTCTTATGAATTTTTAAGACAAAATAGTGGATGTTAAAGGAAATCCAAGCAAGATGCGCTTGGGCAGGACCCTAGACTAGGTCTTAAATACTCCATTTCCCAACTCATGAGTCTACTTTCCCTCTTTTGGACATTCAGAGTACTTTGCAGACAGTAACAGAGAAGCACTGCCTAATGGATTTCCTTCCACACAGGCTTAAAAGTTTCATTAGTTAAGTAGGTGTTTGCAGGAAAAAGCTGTGTCCCGGAAGGAAGAATTCCACTGGACCAAATAGCATAAGACTGTTTAACATAACATCTTTCCCTCGACCTCTATTCCAGCTGATAATTTTTAGCATATATTAATAGTGCTAGAAAATCTACCAGATGAAAAATACTGTTTTTGTAACCACAAATATAGTTGGTAAAAATTGCTGAATGCAAATTTGCTCTTTTAGCTCAAATTTGCGTATTTGTACAATACTAAATATTCTTAATAAAATAACTTATTTGACAAGTATTTATGCAGCAGATATCATGAAGAAGCTACTATGTGCAAATCATTTTGGGTCACACAAAAAGGAATAAAACATGGGATTTACTTTTTAAAAATCCAAAATCTAAATAAGTGCCGTCTAGCAGAAAAATAATTCCTCTTTGTATCTTCTTTTGAGTCTAGCGTGGTCTCTGGGACAAAGGAGGCACTAAAAAGAAATTGCAGCATCAAGCTGAAACAGACTCTAAGCCCGCTGGAGAGGCAGGAAAGTGGGATGGGAACAGCAGGCAGCCAGTCTCCTAATCCTGACTCTGCCGTTTACAAACTGAATAGACAATGGGTGAACTTTGTAACCTCTTTGAAACTCAGTTTGTTCACCTGTAAGGATGGCATCTTTTGGATGGCATCACTGATGTAATGGACATACACTTGGGCAAACTCCAGGAGATGGTGAAGGACAGAGAAGCCTGGCATGCTACAGTCCATGGGGTTGCAAAGAGTTGGACACAACTTGGCAACTGAACAAGAGAAAAATAATGCAAGGCTCATATACAATTTTAACAGTGCTAGTATTTATATTAATAACAGGAAAAATAGATGAAACTAATTGAAATAATTTAATATTAAATTGAATTACTTAAATTTATTAATGACATCAGATTACATTAAATTAAATTAATAATATATTTATGGAACCTAATATTTCCAGAATCTCATCATTTAAACATACAATTAAGATAAAAATATTAAGGAGATATTATCTATTCCTTTTTCATACTAATACTTAAAATTTGGTGTTTTCCACTTACAGTTCATCTTTGTTTGGACTAGCCGTACTGCTGATGATCTATAGCCACAAAGACTAGTGGCTACCGCACTGGATAGCACAAACCTGAATCATTTTGGGGGCTTCCCTAGTAGCTCAAATGGTAACGAATCTGCCTGCAATGCAGGAGACCCAGGTTCAATCCCTAGGTTGGGAAGATCCCCTGGAAAAGGGAACAGCAACTCACTCCAGTATTCTGGCCTGGAGAATTCCATGGACAGAGGAGCTTGGCAGGCTACAGTCCATGGGGTCACACAGAATCATTTATAAGTATTTATTAAGCACATGATTACAGAGTTACAGGTGCTTTACTAGTTCCTGAGGATATAATGATGAATGAAATATTATCCTTGCCCCGCAGAGAACACATATTCTAGTGAGAATGACAAAGATGATTACCAGTGGTGAGTTTTACTACAAAAAAAAATCAAACAAGGGACTGAGGTAGAGAATATAGACAGGAATAGGAATGAGAGTGGGAGTGAGGAAGAGGTAAGGGTTCTAGTTTAAATGGGGTTGTTGGGGGAAGGTATCCATGTAAAGGTGATGTTTTAAGCAGAGACCAACTATTAGTTTCCTACTGCTGCTATAAGAAACAACCACAAACTTAGTGGCTTAAAGCAACATAAATTTATTATCTTACAGTTCAAATGTCAGAGTCTGAAATGAGTTTCATGTAGCTAAAATCAAGTTGATGATGCAGGGTTGTGTTTCTTCAGGAAGCTCTAGGGGGGAATTCATTCCCTGCCTTTGCCAGTTTCTAGAGCTTATGCCCACATTCCTTCGCCTACGGCCCCTTCATCTTTAAAACCAGCAATCATACCACCTCTGCTTTCAAGATCTGTAACTTAATTACATCTACAAAGTCTCTTGCCATGGAATGTAAGAAAGTCATAGTTTCAAGGTGGACATGGACATTTTTTGAGAGGCTGTTATCTGCTTATCACAAACCTGAAAAATAAGAAGTAGAAAAGGTGGTTGAACCTAAGATTCTAGAGTAAGAAGGAACTTGGCAAATTCAAGTAACTGAAGGCAGATCGGTGTTGCAAGAATGCGAAAGGAAGAATGGTGGAAGCCAGACTGGGAGCAGGGCAGGAGCCAGATTACACAGGACTTTGGGGCCATGATAAGGCATATGGGTTTATTTTATTCTAGTTGGGAGCTACTGGGTGCTTTTAATCAGTAGAGTCAAATAATTCAGTTTATTTTATAACTGAATCAGTCTGGTTGCTAGAGGAGCCTGAATCAAAGTGGAACATGAGTGGAAGCAGAAAGATCAATGAGAAATGACATCAACTTCATTAAGACAATGGACTGAAGTAGTTCAGCCAATTGTGGTGCTCATCATGTGGGGTATATATTTATGAAAACTTACTGACCCATGCTCTTAAAATCATGCATCTTATAATATTTCATGTTATTAAATATTATAAAATTACTAGGTTAATTTTTCTTTTTTTTACAAAAGGGGTATTCTGGCTTTGTGGATTTGAAAACCTCCTTGTTTTCAGTGCCTTATTTCCTGTGGAAGATTGTACAAAAAATTGTGATAGTGTGTATCTCATTCCATCTACCTATTTGAACTGCCCTTCCTGAGAACTCAGTATTGTACCCAAGTTGTCATCAATTTGATCTCAGGATAAAAACTCTATTAGACCCAATTTCATCTGTTCGTTTATTTTACAAAGAGCCATTGAACACTAAATGTGCACCATAATGTACAGGCATGAGGAATGGTCAACAAAAACAGATAAAATCTCTATGCTAATTAACTCAGGGTACAGTCTAGCGACAAAGATAGACTTTGATCAAATATTTACACACATATATAAAAATATATCAGCTTTAAGTGCAATGAATACGGTTCTATTGGAAAAGATCTATGAGAATCTATATTAAAGTATTTGGGGGTTGTGGAAGGTCCCCCTGAAGAAGTGATGCTGGTTCTAAAATCTGAAGGACAAATAGACTTTTAGAAGATGATAAAAGTGAAAGAATGATATATGCAAAGTCCCTGGGGCAGGTCAGAAAAAGCTTGCTCTGTGAACTAAACGATGGCCATTATGGTTATAATAGAGAAAATCATGTACAGAAATAACCCTCTCATTCCTCAATCTAATTACTATCTCGATCAAAAATAAACATAACCTTGTTTATACAAGAAAACTCATATTAACAATATTAAACACTCTTAACCAAGCACTTACTATGTAGTAGTTGCTTTTTAAAATATTTTATATGTATTAACTCATTGAATCCTCATAACAATCCTATTAAGGAGATACCTCTATCATCCCCATTTTATAGATGAGTAAACTGAGACACAGGGATAAGTAGCTTGCCCAAGTGGTAGAGTCAAAATTAGAAGCAAACATCTTGAGCCTTGCATGCATACTTCCTAATTCTTACATGCAATGAAGGCAGCCTGTCCTCACCTGGATCCCTTGTTGTTTAGTCACTCAGTCATGTCCAACTCTTTTGTGACCCCATGAACTGTAGCCTGCCAGGCTCCTCTGTCCATGGAATTTCCCAGGCAAGATTGCTGGAGTGGATTGCCATTTCCTTCTCCAGGGATCAAACCCAGGTCTCCTGCATTAGCAGGTGGATTCTTTACCACTGAGCCACCAAGATCCTTGTGCTAGCTAATTTTGGGAACCTCTATCACAGCGTCTTCTAGAAAGAGGATGGTGATCAGGAATCTCTGTCACAGTGTCTTCTAGAAAGAGGTTAGTGATCAGGAACTGTCACTAACAATCACGGGTGGGTTCAGTAGTTCGTAATTAGTGCCTCTGTCACCACCTGTTGGAGGGAGAGAGGAAAAACAAATGGATTGGGGTAGTTTTGTTACCTGGAAAGGGATGGGATGGAGAGTTTATATGGAAAGGATGGCTAGCATATCCATTACATTGCTGAGGACAGGAAATACCTGCGAGGCATTTGAATCACCCCACTTCAGACAGCCGGGAGACCTTAGTGCTTGTCTCAGCTCTGCCAGTGACAGACCTTAGCATTCCCAGGTTTTGGTTTTCTCACCTGTAACATGAAAGGGCTGAATCAAGTTGTTCCTTCAGACAGCTTCTGCAGTTACAAAGATATCAGACAGTCAAATGGAACCTGTCTTCCATGTTTCTGAAAAAGTAGAATTATAGGCAAGAAGTAGAAGTGTCCCTAGCAATAGATGACCCAGGACCTTCACGCTGTGGGAATCCTTGACACAAAGATTACATAAATAGATAGTTCGGACTCTCTTCTTTCACTGCTGGGGCCTCAGTTCAGTTTCTGGTCAGGGAACTAAGATCCTACCAGCCTTGCAGCACAGCCAAAAAATAAATAAGTAAATAAAACAATTTTAAAGAAAGGGGAAAAGTGCTTTCTAAAAGAAAAAGATTATGTAAGTATATTCAAAGGAAGAAGAAATTCTGCCACCTTTTACAAAACGAGAGCATTTTTATAATGATGATCTCAAATGGCATGAAGTATAATTGTAAACGAAATCCAAACATCTACCCTTCCCAATGTTTCAGAGTCCCTCAAAATCTGCATTTGCTTCAATCCATCTATTTTCTTCTCCTCCCTTCCCCTGCCTTATTAATTGTACAAATAAGGGGCAGACTAAACATTTGTTTCAAGTATGCAAATTTTTAAAATAATGAATAATATTATAAGCTTCCTTTGTGCTCCATTGTAATAGAATCTGTTGTTTCATCAGTCTCATTAGAGGAGGTTTTGACCTACACTGAAAAAAACCACTCAAATGTGCAATCCCATCTGTGGAATGAGAGGACTCAGAGGGACAATTGCCACTGCTTCCTCCCCCATGGAATATTGTATGATTCTCCATGGAAATGACTATAATAGGCCAGCAGCACTGTCGTTTCACACAGAGGGTAGGGCCTCATCAGTGGGCTGGAAGCCTGGAAATAGGATGCGCCTAAATATCTCTGTGATACAGAAAGATCTCATGGTTACTGATGTGTTTTCTCAATCCACACAAATTTTGCGAACTCAGAAGGCTCACCCTTTGTTGTTTTCTTACTAAGCAGCGTGGTTCTAGAAAAATACTATTACCAAGCATCTCAGTGTTGCCTTTCCAGATTTTTTTTTCCCCCCACAGGAAAAAAAAAAATTACAAATTGCTAAAAGAAGAGTCGTGGCAGAAGTTACCTCCTAACCAGGATTTCAGCAAGTCATGTTGCAGGCATATGAGAGGCAAGCACCAGAATTTTGATTATGCATAGATTATGATTATGTTTTTAATTTGGGACCATATGTGGCTCTTATTTTAAAAAATATGTTCACTCAAAAAGCAAGACCTTTTAAAAATTCTTATTGGGTACTGAATCCTAAGATTGAATTCTATATATTTCTTATACTTTACAGTTGCCAGGGTCAGATCATTTTGCCAAAGGTTTTCTTCATTTTTATCTAGTATTTCCATAATAAGAGCAACGAGTAATTGAATCAATAAATTAAGTCAGTGAATAAACACACTAAACATTCAATTCATATATTTCTAGCAGAAAGCAACAGGCAGCCTCTTCAGCTAGACAATTGTATTGATTTTTCCTTAGTCTTGTTTATTCCATATCATTACATAAAACGAACAGCAAACCAAGCAATTATAATCTCTTGCTTTTGACTATAAAAATAACAGGCAGAATAGGGAAGACTGCGTTAAGAAAAGAATTAAAAGCAGATTGATACTTCTGTCCACGTGGCAAAATACTTAGAGACGATGATATTTTACTAATCACTCAGGAGAAAGACTTGGGTTTCTTTCTGATTTACTGAGTTTTTCCCTTCTTTGTTGCCACAGGGAAATCTATCAGCTGATGGCTGCCCTACACACGAGGTTGAGGCCCCACACATGCACTCACATGATTCCAGAAAATCATCTCAAGGAAGGGACTGGGTTTCTATTTCTTGATCCTCCTGCAGTTGAATTAACCAGCTGCAGCTGAGTAGAGCCACCAGTGACACATCTGATTATGAATCTGCTCCTTCACCACGAACCCAGGCATGAGTTACACATATTAATATGTATATGTTCTTTTATTTATACATATGAGCAATTCTCCTGAAAACCCAAAAACTGCACAACAAACTTGGTCCCTCCAACAAAGATTAACTTACACTTCTTCTCTACCTATTTTTCAACATTATGTGTCTGCATTTTTACATTAATCGGACATTCAGTTCAGTTCAGTTGCTCAGACGTGTCCAACTCTTTGAGACCCCATGGACTGCAGCATGCCAGGCTTCCCTGTCCATCACCAGCTCCCAGAGTTTACTCAAATTCATGTCCATTGAGCCAGTGATGCCATCCAACCATCTCAGCCTCCCGCCTTCAATCTTTCCCAACATCAGGGTCTTTTGAAATGAGTCAGCTCTTCGCATCAGGTGGCCAAAGTAATGGAGTTTCAGCTTCAACACCAGTCCTTCCAATGAATAATCTGACATAATCAATACAATTTTAGAGGTTAACTAAAATACAAAGTCCTATAAATTAAGAATGCATAGTATTCCATTTTAAGAAACACCTACCTTCTAAGCACTAGTGTCTTTAAATTTTCATGAATAAATCATCAAGAAAGATGCTTACACATAAATCTCTGACCACATCTCTGATTTTTCTTTGGGATAGAACTTTTGAAACTAATTCTGTCAAATTGAGAGGCAATAAAAATATCCTCATTTAATTGAATTGTCCTTCTTCTTAGAGGTTAGGTGTTTTGTGTGTATTTTTTGCCTTTATGTCTTTCTTCTGGGAAATATCTATTGATGTCCTTTGTTTACTTTTTGTTAACTCTTAAGTTTTTAGTATTTCCTTCAATTGCATGTGTAATTTGTAATTAAAAATATGAGTTTGGGGAAAGGTAGTTTACAAACGTATCACATGCCTTCCTTTACTTATTTCTGTAAAGCGTCCTTTTGAAATTATTCTTTCAGAAATATCTCTAAAAATTTTTGTTAAAATGCCATTATTAGAACCAGATAGGCGTTCTAAATATCTAAAGGCAGTGTTAGACTGCCACCTAGTATTTCAATGTAGAACTACTTAAAGCCTTCACTGAAGGTTTTCTTGCATTCGTTGAGGGGCAGAATACAGTAAACACAAAAATGTCACCTTATGCCCTGAATCTAAAAAGGCTAAAGACTAAGGTCAATGAATGCAGAAATGAAAGTTATCATCGACTCAGGGGCAAGTGATGCTGTATGTATCCTCTGTTTTTAACGCTGATCACTGTTTGCCCTGATTGCAATAAAAGGATCACCACTCAAAGTAGAAAAAGCTCATGTTCTCATTTTTAGCTTAGTGTTAGCAGATGTAATTTTCTCTCATAACTCGCTGAGCCTCTTCTGGACTCAGCTTTCCTATAAAATACAAAGACAAAGGAAAGCTCTCCTCTCCCTCTCCCTTCCCCAGGGTGCTCATCAGCTGTGCACTGTGGAGAACTGCAGGCTTCAGGATCCATAGGAGCTATTAAACCAGATTCTGCATTTGTCATGATCTTGACCTCTTCTTGAGCACCTTTCCTTTCTTCTTGACCCTCCCCTATGGAGATAGAAGGGGCATCTCAGGTAGAAATGCTTGAATCAAATATTGTGGTCCAAAGGAGAGCTCTGGGGGCCTTCCCTGGCTGTCCAGTGGTGAACACTCCACGCCCCCAGTGCAGAGAACACAGGTTCGATCCCTGACCAGGGAACTAAGATCCCACAAGCCACACGATATGGCAAAATAAATAAACAAATAAAGGAGATCTTGGGGTGGGGGGAGGGCAGGGACAAAGTAGTGGGAGAATTAAGGACCTGCATTCACAATCAGCATATCTGCAGTGACACTGTATGTGCTAAGTCACTTCAGTCATGTCCGACTCTGGGGCCCTGGGGACTGTGGCTTGCCAGGCTCCCCTGTCCATAGGATCCTCCAGGCAAGAATACTGGAGCATGTTGCCAAGCCCTCCTCCAGAGGATCTTCCCAACTCAGGGATCAAACCTGCATTTCTTGTGTCTCCTGCATTGGTACCTGGGTTCTTTGCCATTAGCGCCACCTAGGAAGTAATACTGGCAACAGTCAAAGTCCTAAAATCACACAATATCCAAGGCCCATTCTAGATATGTCTTACTCCTAACAACATTTTGATCTTCCTGTATTTCTCACAAGCTGTCCTGCCTTCCAGGCCAGTCTATTCCCCAAAGTCACAGGTATGTAACAAAAGAGGCAGATGTCACAGTAGAGTCACTGATCTTTCTGGGAAGACCAGAGACCATGATGTGGAAGGATTCATCTCCTCTCCCCACTCAGCAGTGCTGCTCAGAGATGCTGGGCTTAACCTGGCCACTGTGGTGTCCTAACTCTGGCTACCGTCCTCCTGGGTTTCATCAGGCTGCTTCCCACCTTGTGTCTCCTTCCCAATAAAAGAAACAATGGGGGAAAAATGTTTTCTTCGTGTGCTCCTCTTTTTCCTTCAATAGGCTATAAATATTCTCTGAAGCATAGTCGTCAGTAATCTGCTCTTCTTTTTCTCATACTCTTGCCCTGAAAGGAATTACTTATTTAAACATCTTAAACTCTGAGAATTTGACTCAAAAAAATTAAATAAAATAAAATAACAAATGGTTAGATCTCTCTCTCCTTGACTGCCAGTTGTGTGTGATCAGCTCCCTGTGGAATTTTTGAGGTCCCACCACCCCTAAAACCATCCTCCTTATCCACAATGTATAACCAGACTCTCACAAAAATCTAAACCAAAAAGATTTTTGGTTCGGTTGTTTCTCTTGCTCACTCCTTCCCTTCCAACATCAAGGAGCTCATCTTGGCATGCTTGGATCATTGTAATCCTATGTCTCGAGTCTTTTGTCCTTTTAACGCAGATCTTCCCCAAGCACAAGCCCACTTTTCTCCACTCTTCAGTGATAGGATCATTTTCCATGTGTCTCTTGGCATGATGAGTGGTAAGGCTTGCTTGACTCCATCCTGTGGTGTACCTGAGATTTTAGGCATTTTCAACACTGGCCCTCTTTCCAAAGTTCTTAACTCCTTGGTCCTAAACTTGGCGATCTAGGTTCATCTCTGTCTGGCCCAAATCTTTCTCTTAACCTTCTTTTTCATTCTTCCCCTTCATCCT